TAAACAACAGCAGACTATGCAACAGTAACACCTGCAGGCGTGGCCGGGCAAAAATACGGCAAATCGGCCACTTACAAAAATACCCGAATGTATAACAGCATTACCATAGGACGAACGTTGTCCGTGCTTAAATAAAGTCTTGCCTGCTTCCCCGCACAAACATGACCCAGTGATGGAAACGTTTGGCTTTAGATCCAGCTGTGACATTGAACAATGCCCCCCCTCCCCATTAAGTTTCCCATACAGTCATTATAAGGCGAGCCAGGGCTGAACCAGAAGAGTTGAAGTCCCTGGTCTCGGAATGGACTTCTTTTCTACCGAATTTAGTAGTAAAATTTGATGAAGTGGCACTCACCGATCAAATTGTGGGACAAACTCGTCCCGTTGTGTCTTGAAGCTCAATCTAGAGCCCTCATAGGCAGTCTCGTGGGGACTAGTAACATATATATATGATGGAGTACGTATAAAGATATGGAAACGAAAATGCCAATTCCTGACTCATTTGCCGTCATCAGCCAGTCATAGACAATACCAACTGTGGACAACCTGAGATTCAAATCCGGACTCTTTGGTCAGTGAGTCGAACGATCTGACAATGAGGTCGCGGCTAATAAACTGACAAAAAGCAGTTGGTGATGAAGTTACTGACACAATAAGTCTATACTTCTAGCTGCTCGTTGACACTTTATGAATATCACGCGGTTATCCGGTTTTAGTTGGCGTATTTCGGCTCAAATATTTATAGCAACTTTCGGACTCAGCCTATGGAGCTTCATTCCGACGGATTTACCTGTGGTTGACGATTAATTTTGAATGTGGCAGGTCTAAACAGCTTACAGGAATGACCGTACGAATAAGAACACTCCACCTACGTGCGAGAACTTGTCGGTCACGAAAGGGACCCATAAAAGGGAATAGGAAAGCCTGTAGCGTGGCAAAACACAAGGAATGCATAGAATGAGCACTTTTTAGAAGAGAAGACGCATACCTGCAAAACGGCAGACAAAAACTTGAGCGTTCGCGGGCAATTAGACTCATTGGGATAGACTTTGTCCCCACCTTTGGACGGCTTCTTTTTCTGGTTGTCTGACTGCGGACTTAGTGCTGCACCGGTGACCAGGTGTGTGACCTCCGGTGACATCTCTGTGGCGACGCGGGCGTGCAGCAGTGAGGCCACACGAACGAACTGTGTGCGCTGAATTCTACTCAGTCCGGTCCCAAGAAGAACAGGTCGAAGTCGTCGCCTTAAAGTTTTGCGAAGCAGGAGGCACAGAGAATAGAGTAAGACTGGTTACATGAAAGGCGTCAAACACGAAACACCACAGAAAACTATCCATTCAGAAAAAGAGGCCTCGAGAATAGAGGGTAACTCTGATAAGAAAGTTGAAGTAAGCACAAAAAATTCAAACATAAATCACCCAAAAAAATGATATAAATTAACCGATAAAGAAGACCGCCGTATTATGTAGTACTTCCTACGGACCAACACGACGGAGTTCAACCTCAACGTCAGATAATCATATAGTCCCACCTTATCCATGTGACCGAGCTGGGTGGCGCGCGAATTGTCTGCATTATCGTTTTAGAAGTTTGAAGCATAATGTCCCCGGAGAGAACTTGAAGATGGTAATCAATGCAAGATTTATTGGCACCATAAATTTCTCGAGAGCTCATCAGTTGCATCCACTCATTGCGTTACGGTCCACGAATGAGTGGATGCAACTGATGAGCTCTCGAGAAATTTATGAAGCCATTAAATTTTGCATTGATTATCGTTTTAACTCTAACGTAGTGAGCACTATAAACGGGATTCGAGAACCAGTTGACGCCAAAAGCTATGCATGCTTACCTTTCGAATAAATAGTACGACCCGTGAGCTAAAAACTCAACAGAACAGATTATTCGATGCTAATGAGTACATTTTACAACAGAAGAAAAATGTCAGGATGAATTGTCAGGATGAATTGTCAGCACCACAGCAAAAGGAAATTTTGACCTTCTTTTCTAAGCTATTTTGCCTCACCAGTATCTAAAATTGTCTTGACACGATGGCAAACTCGACACGAACCGGCAAAGAGCCTAAGAACTTTTACTTGAAATTAAGTGATCGACATTTGTGAAACAGTAAGGGACGATTCAGGATCTCTGACAGTACAATGCATTTACCTTAAGCGAGGAGAACCAGCACTGAACATACAGGACCAAACGATAATTTACGCGTGTTGTTTACAGAGAGATCTATTTGTGCCGCATCCGTCTCGCTTCTCACAACCAAATTTCAGATGACAGAGCGCCTACCAGTGAACGTGGGCGCAATGACTGGCAAATCTAAAAAGCACATCCACAGAAACCCCAAACGACCTGGCGCCTAACTTTATTCTTTCCGCGTTTGAGTATATGAACAACGACTGCGACATTTGTTCTTGTCGTCACACCTCTTGGAATGGTGAGGTAAGCTGGTCCACGATTTGGAGCGTTGTAGATTTCGACTGGAATTGAGTCGGCAGGGAGAGATTTCCCCCAAAGTATCTGTTGCACTGCTTTAACTGTCTTTTGTGGAAAGATGGCGGATCGATGACGGAGCCAACATCCACTCGAGGTCCGTTGACAAGTTTCTTACACATCGTAGATCGGCGA